TGTCTCTCTCTGTCAAATAAATAAATAAAATCTTTAAAAATAAATAAATATAAATTTAAAAAAGATTAAAAAAAGAATTTTGTAATGAGATTTGTTCTATATTAAGTCTTCCTATATTACTTTTGTCTAACTCATTATTATATTTGGCATAAAGTCATGTTTGGAAAACAGCTTAAAGTTAAAAAATATATAAGGAATAAATGAGGAGTTCCACTTTGGACAATGGCAGACTAGACTGTTTTAAACTAACTCTGCCGGTAGGAATAGAAAAACGAGAAAATAAGTAACATGTATGAAGGCATCAGAGAGCTACTAAGACAGTGAAAAACTGTGGGATTAGGATCCAAAAGAAAAGGAAAACTTGGAGAGATGTGCCCACCTTTACCACTGCTTTTCCCATCAAGGCAGGGAGGCAGACAAAACAAAGAACAACATAAAGGGTAAAATATTGATAAATATAAATGAAAAATAATGTTGTGGGGGGGTGAAAATTATGCCAGCATAAGCATATGTCATGAAAGAAATAAATGCAGTTATAAGTATTCTAAAGGTTCTTGCACTTCCAAGAAGTAGTGAAAGGACTAATTTATAATAAGTTAAAATGTGTTTTGTAGTGTTTATTATAAGATTAATCTACAGAAAAGAGAATGTATAAATAACATGCTAATAAGAAAAGAAATAATAAAAAAATATTTAATCCCAAACAAGAAAGAAAAGGGAACAAAGAAAAAGTGAGACAGTATAATAAACTTAAAAATATGTGTTCCTTATAAAGAAACCCCTTAGGGGCACCTGGGTGGCTCAATCAGTTAAGCATCTGCCTTCAGCTCAGGTCATGATCCCAGGGTCCTGGGATTGAGCCCCACATTGGGCTACCTGCCAGCAGGGAGTCTGCTTCTGCTTCTCCCTCTCCCCCTCCCCCTGCTTGTGCTCTCTCTCTCACTCTCTCAAAAATAAAATCTTAAAAAGAAAGAAAGAAAATGACAAGATTAAAAACATTTCATAATGAGAGAATGTTCAGTTCACCAAGATGTAACACTTCTATATGTATATGCACTTATACAAAGAACTTTAAAATAAAGAAATGACTGAGACTAACTTTCTGATCTGCTACATAAATTTTCAGATAATAAATGTATTATATATTATTTAGAGAACAAGATAAATGAAGTTAAAAAAAATCAAGTATGTGACATACCTTAGCTCTGTAGGAATGAGAACCCCCTTGAAAATTTATGACTCCATAAGCATCCGTTGGGCTCTGTTCTGTATGCGTTTCCACAGACCATTCTTCTAATGTCTGATTAAAATGGTCACCCAATTTCACATCTGAGTATTTCATGGCAAGACTTGCAGTAAAACAAGCATGTTGCTTGACCAAGCGACCACAAAAACACCTAAAGGAAAGAAATGAAATTTTAAAAAGACCTTTCAAAAAATTAGTCAATGAAAAACTGAATTAAAATGAACAAACCAATGAACACTGAGTATAAAAATAATTTAACTTTTTAATTTTACAATACCAATAAATTAATACTTTTAACATAACGGTAAAATAGTATAAGTACATTTTTTTTGATGATACAGTCCTCTAAATTTAGTGTGGGGTTATCTACAAAATGTAGTATAGCCATATAACAGAATAGTATTCAACATGAGAATATCTAATATTAGAATATTAAACACAATATGATCTCAAAATTATCATGCTTCATGAAAGAATCCAATGCCTAACAGTACTTATCTATAGTGATGACAATGGTGGCCCAGGGTCAAGGGCAGAAAGGGCAACTGTATTCTACCTAGAAGCATTACAGGACACTACTATGTAGGAAGCAGGCAGTCTCACTAATTTGATAAAGAATTATACGGGTGCCTGCATGGCTCAGTTGGTTGAGCATCTGACTCCTGATTTTGGCTTGGGTCATGATCTTGGGGTCCTGGGATTGAGCCCCCATTTCAGTTCCCCACTCAGCAGGGAGTCTGCTTATAGATTCTCTCCCTTTATCCCTCCCCCTGCTCGTGTGCGCATGCTCTCTCTAAAATAAATAAATAAATCTTTTTTAAAAAGTCGTATCACAGTTAGTAGAAGCCAAAGCAGCTAGAGTTTGTAGGGCAAAAAACAAAAAGAGGAAGAGCTACACAAGAGAGTTCCCGATATATATAGAAGGATCTTCTTAAACATGAGTTAAGAACAAACTACCCAAGGCAAACATAAGAACTACTAGACAACAGTAGGCCAAGTAATTCCTGAAGTTCACAAAGGGCAAGGAACAGTTTGTGTTGCTACCAGCCAGAGTAAGAGATCTCAATACACAAGACCTACAAAAGGGTCCTGAGAATAGCAATGCCTAATTAGAAGGGCTAAATTAGACCTAGACGATGATGTACCATGACAAACTGTAACAGCAAGACTTGAAAGATCAAATTAATCCAAAGTAACTTAATTGCATGCTAAAACAAGTCCAAAATTCCCTAACAAAATGATAAAATCCAGCACCCTAAAACATAAACTTTCTCTCTCAAATAAAAGAATAAAATCTTTGGAAAACAAAGGAGAATCTATCCAAAATGAACACTGAGACAAAAGACAGGGGGGAAACAAAAGGAACAGAACATTAGCAACCTGTTGAACAGTATCAAAGTAGCTCAACACACACAAAATTCAAGTCCCAGAAATAAGGGAATGGGAATACAAATTTGAAAACATAGGGCAAAAATCTGAAAACTATATGAGCAACAGATCTGAGCAGTTCAATAAGAACTGAGCAAAAGAAGCTTAAGGAAATCACACTAGGGCACTGCTGAAAGCCAGTGATAAGAGAAAATCTTCAAAGTAGCATATCACATTATGGGCAGAAGAAGAAAGGTAAGAATGATAGCACACATCTTGTCAAAAATCATGCAACCCAATAGTAACTGGTACATCATCTTATTCTTTTTTTTTTTTAGGTTTTATTTATTTAAGTAATCTCTACATCCAATGGGGGGCTTGAACTCACAACCCCAAGATTAACAGTTCCATGCTCTTCCAACTGAGCCAGTCAGGCACCCCAATTTTTTGGTTCAGCATCTTTAAAGTACTAAAGGGATGGGGGGAACCCTATCAAATTAGAATCCTGTAAGACTTGAACAAAACTACCAGCCAACCAAAGTGATTAAATAGACATTTAACACTCAACAATAGAATAAAAACTCTTTTTGAGTGCACAGAAATATTTACCAAAATTAAATATATGTTGGGCCATAAAGTAAGTCTAAATAAACTAGAGTAAGGATGGAAATCATACAAAGTATGTTCTCAGGCCACAGTGAAACTAAACTAGAAACCAATAAAAGAAAATACGGGGGAGGAGCAGTTGTTCCTGGGTGGTTCAGTTGGTTAAGCATCTGACTCTTGATTTCGGCTCAGGTCATGATCTCATGGGTCATGAGATCAAGCCCCACATGGGGCTCCGTACCAAGGTGTGGAACCTGCTTAAGATTCTCTCTCTCTCCCTCTGCCCCTCCTGCCCCACCCCCACTCAAGTATGTGCACTCTCTCTCTAAAAGAAAAGGAAAAAAAATACTGGGAAATTCTTCAAGTATTTGGAAATTAAACGACACACTTTTTATTAACTCATGGATCAAAGAAAGTCACAGAAGAACTTAGAAAATATGTGGAACAAAATGAAAATAAAAACAAAACATGGGATGCAACTATATAGTGTTTAGTATAAAAGCGTATTCACATACTTTACAGTATGAAAATATATAGGATAAAAAACTGTAGTATATAGTTTAAACGAGAAGAAGATCTGCTACGTGAGGAAGGCGAAGATGGTGGAGGCCCGGGCATGGGTCCTGGGAGTCCAATGGCTAAAAAGGGCAGCCCGAACCATGGTGCCCTTGGGTACAACGACAGCTTTGCACATTACCAAGGACACGTTCCTGGGGTCCTACCCCAAGATTCCAGAAGAACAGGCCACCACTGCCAAGAAGTATATGTGTGTAGAAGACTACCAAGTGTCCTGGGAATATGGCATGGGGTATGATGACTACCTGAAGCTCTCTGACCGCTCAGGGCAGGGAGAGATCCATGGTATGACTGGGACCACCCCGACCTGAGGTTGAACTGGGGTGTACCAACACCCTGGGACCTTGACATGTCTATCAGGAACTGTGTGGATACATCCCCCATGCCTATTTCCTGGAATCTCACGTGTAAGCACCTCTTTGGCTTTGTGGCCTTCGTGCTGTTCATGTTCTGAGTTGGGGAGACTTATCTAACCTACCAATCTGTGGGGCTAAAGCAGAATCCTTATAATAATCTGTACCTGGAACAAGGCAGAGATCCCACCAAACAGCCTGAACCAGTGGTTCATTATGAGATCTGAGGCGATTTACCAGCTTTGCGCCCCCTAAGTGACTCCCTCATTTCTAGAGATTTAACCTTAATGAAATCCCTAATAAAACTTAGTGCTATCATTAAAAAAAAAAAAAAAAGATTTACAAGTAATAGTAATCTAAACTCCACCTTAAAAACTTTTTAAAAAGGGCAAATTAAACCCAAAGTAGCAGATGGAAAGAATAAAGAGCGCACAATGAAACATGAAAAGAAAAGAAAAACAATGTAGAAAAATCAATGAAACAAAAAGCTTGGTCATTGAAAAGATCAACAAAATTCAGTATCTATTCACTATAAACATTTCCAGCAAATTAGGGAAAGAGGGAACTTCCTCAACACAGATATCATCATACTTATTTAATGTTGGCTATGAGTACTACTCACTACATTCTGAGTCCTGTGAGTCCTAATCACCAAACTTTGGGGTCATCTTGGGGACACGTGACAAAAGTAGACAAAATATATGAGGTAACGGTTTTTAAGCACTGAACAAGAATTATGGGACTTCAATCCTTGAAATGAAGAAAAATATATGAAGTGAGGCCCATAATTGTACCAACCACACTGGGGGAATTTCTCAACCATTGTGCATTGAGATAATGCTCAGGTAGAAAATGGCAGTGTCACTGAGCTGAGCAAGGAGGTAGCAAACAGAATTCCAGGCTGCTGAAACAGATGGAATTTGTAGCAGGGTACCAGAGGAGAGAGAAAGAGGGAAACAACCTTGCATGAGGATTCACCATGGGTTCCTGGCCACACACTGAGCTGTATCTGTGTCGGTCAAGACTTAGACACCTAACAGAAATCACCTGCTGCGGGTCTGAGACCTGAATCATAAAGGGCTGGAGACACTGCAGTCTTAGATCAGAACGAAAAGACATGAGTAGGCATCCTGGGCATTCAGTTGAGACCCTAAAAAGGTTATACCTTGGGAGTACAGTCCACATTCTAAGACTAAATTCAAAATAAAAATAGAGGGTGCCTGGATGGCTCAGATGGTTAAGTGTCTGCCTTCCGCTTGGGTCATGATCCTGGGATCCTGGGATCGAGTCCCGCGTCGGGCTCCCTGCTCATTGGGGAGCCTGCTTCTCCCTCTGCCTCTCCCTCTGTCTCTCATGAATAAATAAATAAAATCTTTAAAAATAAATAAATAAAAATAAAAATAGAGCTGCCCCAACAAAGAATGAAATCAAGCCCTATGGGACAAAAGAATCTGTCAATAATTTAATCACCTGTCAGAACAAAATTTAAACCCTTTAAAGGAAGATGACATAGTCCAGACCTCCTAAAATCAATCATGGAAACTCGCAACATACAATAAAAAATTACTAGACATATGAAAAAGCAAAAAAAGTGACTCATAATCAAGAAAAAAGTAGATAAATTTAGCAATTCAATAGAAACAGACCGTAAATGACACTGATGTTCAAACTAGTAAACAAAAATTTTGATGCAGATATAAGTATGTTCAAGAACTTATAGAAATAGATGGTGATAACAAAGGTATAGATAAGGCATCTCAGCAGTGACCTGGAAACTATAAAAGAATCAAATGAAAATTTTAGAACTGAAAAATATAATGCATGAAAAGTTCACTGGATGGGCAAAATAGTACATTGGCAATTGCAAAAATAAGGATTAGTGGGGAAAAATATATTACAAAGCTACAGTAATCAAAGAAAAAAAAAGACTAGTGAACCTTAAGAAATATCACTACAACTGTTCTACTTTCATCAATGGAATAAAATTTTAATTAAAAAAAAAAGAAACAGGGCTGGGGAGCTTAGATGGTGGCGCAATCAGTTAAGCATTCAGCTCTTGGTTTTGGCTCAGGTCATGATCCCAAGATCCTGGGATCAAGCCCCATGTCGAGCTCCCTGCTCAGCAGGGAGTCTGCTTGTCCTTCTCCCTCCGCTCCCTCTACCCCCTGCTCAAGGTCGGTCGGTTGGTCAGTCTCTCTCTCTCTCAAATAAATAAAATCTTTTTTAAAAATCATGCAAACTAACAAAAGTATAACTGGAGTTTCAGAGAGAAGAAAGAGAGAGAATGGGGCAGAAAAATATTTTAAGAAACAATGGCTAAAAACTTCCCAATATGGAACCCTCCGACATGGTTGGTGGGAATCCAAGCTGGTGCAGCCAATCTGGAAAACAGTATGGAGGTTCCTCAAAAAGCTGACAATAGAGCTACCCCAGCAATTGAACTACTGGGTATTTACCCCAAAGATACAAATGTAGTGTTCCGAAGGGGTACATGCACCCCAATGTTTATAGCAGCAATGTCCACAATAGCCAAACTATGGAAAGAGCCAAGATGTCCATCAAAAGATGAATGGATAAAGATGTGGTGTTTTTATACAATGGAATATTATGCAGCCACCAAAAAAAAAAAAAAAACCCACGAAATCTTGCCATTTGCAACAACGTGGATGGAACTAGAGGGTATTATGCTAAGCGAAATAAATCAGAGAAAGACAAGTATCATATGATCTCACTGATATGAGGAATTCTTAATCTCAGAAACAAACTGAGGTTTGCTGGAGTGGAGGGGGGTGGGAGGGATGGGGTGGCTGGGTGATAGACATTGGGGAGGGTAGGTGCTAAGGTGAGCGCTGTGAATTGTTTAAGACTGATGAATCACAGACCTGTACCTCTGAAACAAATAATACATTACATGTTAAAAAAAAAAGAAAAAGAAAAAAAGAAGATAGTAGGAAGGGAAAAATGAAGGGGGGAGAATCGGAGGGGGAGACGAACCATGAGAGACTATGGACTCTGAGAAACAAACTGAGGGTTGTAGAGGGGAGGGGGTTGGGGGGATGGGTTAGCTCAGTGATGGGTATTAAGAAGGGCATGTACTGAATGGAGCACTGGGTGTTATACGCAAACAATGAATCATGGAGCACTACATCAAAAACTAATGATGTAATGTATGATGACTAACATAACACAATAAAATTAAATTTAAAAAATAATAATTAAAAAAAACTTCCCAATTTGGTGAAAAATATGAACTTGCAGATATTTATGGCACAGTATATACAAAGAGAACCACTCTTAGGCACATTATACACCTGCTGTTGAAAACCAAGGATACAGGAAGAAAGTCTTTAAAGTAACCAGAGAGAAAAAAGATCATTACATACAGAACTACACTAGTGACAAATGACTTCTCACCAGAAACAAGAGCCAGAAGACAATATAATGGTATCTTCAAAGTGCTGGAATGAGAAAACTATCAACTCAGAAATCTATATCTAGGGAAAATATCCCTCAAAAATGAGAGTAAAATAAACATGAAAAATGAAAAATATGAAAACATATTTTCAGATAAACCAATCTGAGAAAATTCATCTCTATTGTATCTGCATTATACCAAATACTAAAAGAAGATCTTCAGTTTGAATGGAAAGATACCCCCTGGAACTTTGCGCCTAAAGGAAGGAATGAACAGGACTGGAAATGGTAAAACAACTCCATATATCTAAAATGAAAAGTGCATTCTGTGCACTTTTCTTCCTAGCCTATCTACCAGAGACCTTCTAGTCTTACTCTTACATTCATTCATCAGATCTTAATGAGCAACATTACTATTTACTTAGCTATCTAGGCAAGAAATTTAGGATTCACCAAATCCTATTGAATTTATCTCATTAATTCCTTCAAATATGTCTACTTCCCTTCATCATCATAGCCGCTATCTTAATTCAGGCTCTCAGTTTTTCCAGAATTACTCCAAAACTTTCCAAGCTATTTTTTCCTCCCAATCCAATCTCCTCAAAATGCCAACTGCTTTTACCAAAAGAAAAACTAAGCATTTTACTTCCCTGTATATCCTTTTAACATGAAATCAAAACTATGTGACACAGTACACAAACAGCTTAAATGATCTAGTTCCTACTTATTTCTCCAGATCAAATCTCTCCAATATCCATATTACATTCTACATTCTGTAGTTTCCTGATAGAATCATAATCTCTTTCACTGTCAGGCCTTCCCACATCCTGTTTTCTCTGCCTAAATCCCTTTTGCTCAATCTTTACCTAACTAATTCACATTCAACTTTAGAAATCTGCTCAAGTAGCTTCACTGGAGTTCATATAGCCTCGCCCAATCCTTCACCTCCCAACTCTGAGTAAAGTAACTTTCAAATGTAATCAAATGCAATAACCTGTGAGTTTTATCCCACCTAACTGATGCTTCTAAAATATTAGTTTTATTTTTCAAAATTTGTGCAATAGTTTTGTTATTAAACTTACCTGACGAGTTGCTGACAAATTTGACATCCTGGAAGGCATCTATAAAACAAGGTAAATTTATTACTTAACATTAAAAAAAAATTTTAACTTAAACTACATAAAATCCATATAATAGTACAAATCAAAGGAAAACTATAACGCTTATCTAATTGTTCAGTAGATATGTCATTTATACCTTGGTTTATACACTCAAATAACTTTTTTTAACTCACATAGTTTCCATTGTTTATTGTAGTTGACATACAATGTTAAACTAGTTTTAGGTACACAACATAGTGTTTAATAATTTTATACATTACTCAATATTCACCAAGACTAGTCACCATCTGCCACCATACAATGTTATTACAGTATTATTAACTATATTCCTTATGTTGTACTTTTATCTCCATTATTATTTATAACTGGAATACCAGGTACCAGTTGTACCTCTTACTCCCCCCTTCACCTATTTTACCCATTCCCTCACCCACATATTTAAAATAGTTTCCTTTCTTTTTAAGTACAACTAGTTGTGACAAAATCCAGAAACCAAAGAGAAAAAGACTGACAGATTTAACTACACAAAAATACAACATTTCTACATGGCAAAAATATGCCACTCATAAAGTCTAAAGACAAACAGGAAAAAATAATTGCAGGCAAAAGGTTAGTTTCCCTAATATAGAAAGTTTCATCAAATTTACATAAAAAAGGAAAACATATGGATAGTTCACAAGTAAAAACATACATACGAAAAGGCATTTGATTAGAAAAGATTTTTTTAGTCCTTTAAGACAGTATCTTGAAGAGAATAGAGATAGGTAGTTTTTTTTTTTTTTTAAGATTTTATTTATTTATTTGAGAGAGAAACAGCGAGAGAGGGAACACAGCAGGGGGAGTGGGAGAGGGAGAGGGAGAAGCAGGCTTCCCGCCAAGCAGGGAGCCCAATGCGGGGCTCGATCCCAGGACCCTGGGATCATGACCTGAGCCGAAGGCACACGCTTAACAACTAAGCCACCCAGGCGCCCCGAGATAGGTAGTCTTATATGCTGGTGGGAGTATAAACTGATACAATCTCGATGGAAGGCAACTTGGTAATACCCATCACAATGAAAAAAATGTAGACTCCCTCTCAAACTCTAATACCAATACTAAAATTATAGGCTAAAAAATATTTGTAGCACATGTGTAAAATAATTAATGTACAAAGGTTACTCATTCACTACAGCATTTTTTTTTCTAGTAACAAAAAGAAAAACAGAATAGCTAAAATGTTCATCAGTAAGAAACTAAGGGGCGCCTGGGTGGCTCAGTCGGTTAAGCGTCTGTCTTCAGCTCTGGTCATGGTCCCAGGGCCCTAGGATCAAGCCCCACATCAGGCTCCCTGCTTAGTGAGGAGCCTGCTTCTCCCTCTCCCTCTGCTGCTACCCCCCGCTTGTGCTCACTCTCTCAAATAAGTAAATAAAATCTTTAAAAAGATTTTAAAAAATAAGATTAAAAAAATAATCTTTAAAAAAAATAAGGAACTACTAAAACAAACTATGATCCAGATATATAATTTAAAAGGATGCAACAACTAAAAACAGTGGTTATTGCCAAGATAATAAACACTGTGGGTTAAACAGTATGTACTTAAAAGGAGAGAGAGAGGAGTAAATACACATCTGCTAGGACATGCAAAGACTGTATCTAGCTATTTCTGGAAGATATTCTGAGGAATAGGTAACACTGGTTTTCTTTAGGAAGGGGAATTTATAGTTAAGGCACAGTGGTAGAAAGGGACTTTCACTTATAAATTTTGGTATCTTGTAAATCCATGTATTAGCTTATTCATAAAAACCTAATTTTCAAGTTCAACTAGTTCAAGGGCACCTGGCTAGCTCGTTGGAAGAGCATGCAACAGTTGATCTCAGGGTTCTGAGTTCAAGCCCCATGTTGGATATAAAGATTACTTAAAAATATTATCTTATAAAAAAAATTTCAACTAGTATAGAAAGAAATGACCAGCTACCAGTGTTTGAAAATTATGTCTCATATGGATGGCTACAGCCAAAGATACTTAGTAACAGAATGAGATTCCTTTAACACCTAAAGTTAAATTTCTACTGCAAACTGAAATTAAAAAAGTATAGGAAATAACTCCTCAATAATACAATCTCTTTTGTTAATAAAGCAAAACCATAATTTTCTCCCAATGAAAGAAAAGTGTCTTACTTTAGAACTGGCACCCTGAACTAAGGAGATCTAAATTCTAATCCCACCTTTATGAATTATTAGCCATGTGACCTGGGAAATGTCACTTCTGCTCTGGTTAAGAAATGTAATGTTACTAGGACCAAACCCCATGTCCGACCCTGCACTCAGCGGGGAGTCTGCTTGAGGATTCTCTCCCCTCTACCCCTCACTCCACATGCAGGCACTCTCTAATAAGTAAATAAATCTTTTTTTTTTTTTAAAGATTTTATTTATTTATTTGAGCGAGAGAACAAGAGCACACGCACAAGCAGAGGGAGAGAGCAGCAAAGGGAAACAGAGAAGCAGGCTCTCCAATGAGCAGGGAGCCCGACACGGGGCTCAATCCCAGGACTCTGGGATCATGACCTGAGCCTAAGGCAGACACTTAACTGACTGAACCACCCAGGTACCCCAATAAATAAATCTTCTTTTTAATGTAATGTTACATTGTAACAAAACATCTTTAATCATTACTAAGAAATTCAAAAACTCACGGAATAATGACTGGAAGAGATATTAAGGTTTATCTGTTTTATTATCTAAATGACATTTACCAAATTTACCAAAAATTGAAGGAATGTTAAAAAACATAAAAAATATTTTCTCACTAATCAAGTAAATGCAAATTTAAGACATATACTATTTCCTACTAATCACTTTTCCTTGCAGATAAAGAAAAATGTTACTCTAGTCAATATTCAGTAAAGCAGGCATTCTTGCCACTACCGGTAATAGTGTATATTGCTTTAATCCTTTTGGAAAGCTTTTTGGCATTACATACACTAAGGGGTGGGGGGGGGACCTTAAACACAAAGAAAGTTTTATCCACTAAGGTCTTCATTATGGCCTAATTTTACTTTATCATGGCTAAAAATTGAAAATAACTGAAATTTGCTCAATAATGGAACAGGTATATATAAATTGTGGCCTATACACTAACAGAATATTAACTACCATTCTTACAAAATATTTGCAATATCATATTTACTATAACATTTTGTAAAAGAGCACATACCATATTTTACACCTAGACTGAATACAGCAACCTTTTAAGACAAAACCTATTGAGGAAATATTAAAATTAAATGCACCAAAATTTTACTAATAATGACTGCCTTGGGGCACCTGGGTGGCTCAGTCGGTTAAGGGTCTGACTCTTGATTTCGGCTTAGGTCATGATCTCAGGGTCATGGGATAGGGCCCCGCACTGGGATCCGTGCTGGGTGTGGAGCCTGCTTAAGATTTTCTCTATCTCACTCCTATGATTATAGGAAACAAACTGAGGTTTGCTGGAGGGGTGGGAGTGGGTGATGGGACAACTGGGTGATGGACATTAAGGAAGACACATGATGTAATGAGCACTGGGTATTATATAAGACTAAGGAATCACTAACTCTACCTCTGAAACTAAGAATACACTATATGTTAATTAATTGAATTTAAATAATAAAGAAAAAATAAAATAAATCTTTAAAAAGAAATGAAGAACTGATACAACATGGACATGCCTTGAAAACATTATGCTGAGTAAAAGAAACCAAACATAAAAGGCCACATATTTTTGAGTCTATGTATATGAAATGTACAGAACAGGCAAATCCATAAAGACAGAAGTAGATTCATGGTTGTCAGGGACTGGGGGGAGAGGAGAATAAGAGTGACTGGTAATAGGAACTGGGTTCCCTTTAGGAGTGATAAAAGTGTTCTGGAATTAGATAGTGGTGATGTTTGTAAAATCTTTTGAATATACTAAAAACCAACAAAATGTACATTTCAAATGGTCAGTTTTATGCTATATAAATTATATCTCAATTTTTTTTTTTTTAAAGGTTTTTATTTATTTGACAGAGAGAAAGACAGCCAGAGAGGGAACACAAGCAGGGGGAGTGGGAGAGGGAGAAGCAGGCTTCCCGCGGAGCAGGGAGCCTGATGTGGAGCTCGATCCCAGGACTCTGGGATCATGACCTGAGCCGAAGGCAGACGCTTGACGACTGAGCCACCCAGGCGCCCCTATATCTCAATTTTTAAGAAAAAAGATTCTTTCCCTTTGCCCCTCCCCTTTCTCTCTCACTTCCCCCTCTTAAAAAAATATAAGTTTCTAAAAAATTACCAATTTTGCTATTTTTGTATAGTCGACATATAATGTTATATTAGTTCCAAATGTACAACAGTGATGAACAATGCTATATATTCCAAAATGCATTACCACCACAATAAGTGTTGTTACCATTTGTCACCATACAACATTACAATATTATTGACTATATTCCCTCTGCTATACTTTTCATCTCTGTGACTTATTCATTTTATTCACTTCATGCATCTCCCTACCCCATCCCTTACACCTACACCTGTCTATTCTGGCAACTACCAGTTGTTCTCTGTTTCTATGAGTCTGTTTTTGCTTGTTTGTTCTGTTTCTTAGAGTCCACATATGAGTATAATCATATGGTACTTGTATTTCTCTGACTTATTTTGCTTTGCATAATACCCTCTAGGTCCATCCATGTTTTGCAAATAGCCAAGATTTCATTCTTTTTTATGACTAATATTCTATTTGGTGTGTGTGTGTGTGAATATATATGTGTGTGTATATACACACACATGCTGTACCTTCTTTATTATCTATTGCAACACTTACGTTGCTTACATATCTTGGCTATTGTAAATAATGCTGCAATAAATACAGGAGTGCATATATCGTGGCGCCTGGGTGGTGCAGTTGGTTAAGCATCTGACTCTTGGTTTCAGCCCAGGTCGTGATCTCACAGGTGGTGAGATCGAACCCCAGGGCTCCACGCTCAGCACAGAGTCTGCCTGAGACTCTCTCCCCCTCCCTTTGCCCCTCCCCCTGCTCTGTCTCAAATAAATAAATCTTTTAAAAAACAAAAACAAAGGAGTGCATATATCTTTTCCAATCAGTGTTTTTGTGTTCTTTGGGTAGATACTCAATACTGAATTCCTGGATCATATGGTATTTCTATTTTTAATTTTTTGAGGAAACACCATACTGTTTTCCACGGTCATTGCACCAATTTATATTCCCACCAATAGTGCAAGAGGGTTCCCTTTTCTCCACATCCTTGCCACCACTTGTTATTTCTTGTCCTTTTGATGCTAGCCATTCTGACTGGTATGAAATTATGATACCTCACTGAAGTTTTGCTTTGCATTTTCCTGATGATTAGTGAGTTTGAGCATCTTTACCTGTATCTGTTGGCCATCTGTAGGTCTTCTCTGGAAAAAAGCCTATTTGGGTCTCCTGCCCACTTTTCCTGGGTGTTGAGCTGTGTAAGTCCTTTGTACATTTTGGATATTAACCTCTTACCAGATAGATCATTTGCAAATATCTTCCCCCACTCAGTAGGTTGCCTTTTTGTTTTATTAATAGTTTCCCTTGTTGGGGCACCTGGGTGGCTCAGTCTTTAGGCGTCTGCCTTTGGCTCGGGTCATGATCCCGGGGTTCTCAATCAGAGAAAGACAATCATATGATCTCACTCGTATGTGAAATTTAAGAAACAAAACAGGATCATAGGGGAAGAGAGGAAAAACTAAAACAAGACAAAATCAGAGATAGAGACAAACCGTAAGAGACTTTTAATCATAGGAAACAAACTGAGGGTTGCTGGAGGGGAGTGGGACGGGGGATGGGGTAACTGGGTGATGGCCATTAAGGAGGGCATGTGATGCCGTGGATATTGTATCAGACTGATGAATCACTGACCTCTACTTTTGAAACCAATAATACATTATATGTTAATTAACTGAATTTAAATTTTAAAAAAAGAGCTAAAAGAAAAAAAAATACAGGATTGGGATAACCTCCAGCTTTATTCCTCTTTCTCAAGACTGCTTTGGCTATACAGGGTCTTTTGTGGTTTCATCCAAATTTTAGGATTATTTGTTCTAGTTCTGAATTTGGCTATGTTTTTATAAGAGTCATATATCAAATGGAAATAAAAGTTGCAGAGAAGTTAACCGGATAGAGAACAAGGTTTGATAGGAAATGAGAAAGGTAAGAAGATTCAAAACACTTGTAAATGCATTTCTCAACTAATTTTTCCTAAGTGCCTATGAAGAGAGGTTTTCTGTATTCTAGGAAATAACTCTTTCTTTGATTTGTCCTTTTAAGCTTTTATCTATTTTTAGGCCACAAGAAAAAAATTATGGAAAATGTTACTTCAATAAATACCTCAAGAGGTTAACTTTTTCTTGAATTTTAACTAGTGCCTTTTAAATTTTTCTATTATCAAAGCCACGTGAGAGATCAAAAAGTCAATTAGAGATGTCTATAATCTCTGATGATAGGTTTTCTAGCAGATGCTGAGCTATATCTACATTTTGACAAACAAATATAGGAACTATTAGGTTTGTATTGATTTCTTTAGCATGAACCATAGTGTTGGGTACTCAGCAGATGTTCAATAAATACACATTTTTAAGTTCTCATTATCAGTGAATCAGTTAAGAGTCTTAACTGCCTTATCTTTGTAATATACTAGTATGATCTGGGGGAGTTTAGGGATGGGGGAACACTCTGAAGAAGAGGGTTTTTTTTGTTTGTTTTTTTAAAGATTTTATTTATTTATTTGAGAGAGAGAGAATGAGAGAGAGCACATGAGAGGGGGTAGGGTCAGAGGGAGAAGCAGACTCCCTGCCGAGCAGGGAGCCCGATGCGGGACTCGATCCAGGGACTCCAGGATCATGACCTGAGCCGAAGGCAGTCGCTTAACCAACTGAGCCACCCAGGCGCCCTGAAGAAGAGGTTTTATGCTGTAAACGTCATTAAGAACTCCAGAATGCTGATACTGTGCTAATATCTCCTCTCAATTTTTTTTTTTAAGATTTTACTTTTTTTATTTGAGAGAGAGCACACGCGCGCACGAGCAAAAAGCAGGCTTCCCACTGAACAGGGAGCCCGACACGGGTCTCAATCCCAGACCCTGGGATCATGAACTGAGCTGAAGGCAGATGCTAACCAACTGAGCCACGCAGGTGCCCTCTCCTCTCAATCTTAAATGAATAATTAACAGTCAGCACAGAAGTTAACAGTAACTATAAATACTTTAATTTTGGTTTTTAATAAGCAAACAGCAATATAATTTACATCTAAATTTCTAGAGGAACCCAAAAAACAAAGGTATGCTTACCTGTGAGGGTCTTTGGAACTTGGTATAATATATACACATTCCCTCTTGGTCAAAGTGCTTTCTATCCAGGATTTCTGGGACTGAAACAAAAAGTTTTAAAAGACAGTTTATAAATTAACTCACTGATAGTACAATGAAGTAATTTAATGATAAGTACATAAAAAGAAATAGTTCTATACTATTTAACTTTTTTCCAATTCACTATTTACCAAGAGTATAAAGACTTACTGAAGAAAACACACCTAAAATATAATAATCATTCAAGTCCACCGTGATTTAGATTACTAAATCAATATGCTGTGAAAATACTGTTGTTTCACATAATGAGAGGAGGAAAATCAAGTCTGAGATTCCCAATATGGGCCAAATACCTCGAGAGGGGCTGGTATGATCCTGGGAAGTGGATCATTTAAAAACCAATTAAAAGTGATTGTCAGATTTAACTAGCAAAATAAAACCTAGCTATATTTTATTTCTAAGTTAAATACATAAAACATAAGGGCATGGATGCTTAATGGTATACAGACGAAAAAGATACTAAGCAAATCCTAATCAAAAGAAAACTAGTATCAGGAAAAATAAACACTAAACATCAATAGGGATACAGTAGGTTATTACATGATTACAAATGTTTCATTCACAAGATTGCGATAACAACCTTAAATATGTATAACCAAAGAGTCTCAAAATACATAACACAAGAAATTAATAGAATAAGACAAATCTAGGATCACAGTGGAAGATTAACACATTTCCCTCAATTACAGTAAATCTGAAATAATTTTTAAAATTGAAAAGTTGTTTTTAAATTAATTTTTTATACCACTATTTAAGTTTCTGCCTAGGTCCTTAGACTCTTAGACTCCGTATCCTCATCCTGCTACTGGTGACTGATTAAAAAGGAAGAGGCATTATGTACTGGGACAGATGAAACTCTTATAACAGAGTAGATTAAAAACTGTGGAAATCCATCCTCTATATAATTCAGCAACATAATCAGGACAGTCCAAAAAGGAAGAGCCTATGTTCTAAAAGGAAACCTCTGAGAGAAGAGACATTCTAGACAATATTATGATGGGTGAAGTTTTGCAGGTTCCTCTCAAATCCTTCAGGTACCCTAATAATAAACCTTAGTCTATTCCCTCAGTGCTAATTCTGGTAAATTCTGCCAAAATTCTCTCTCCATTTCAAAATGTCCATTTCCTTAAATGCTGAGCAAGGAGCCTGATGCGGGGCTCGATCCCAGAACCCTAGGATCATGACCTGAGCCAAAGGCAGCCGCTTAACTGACTGAGCCGCCCTGCCCCTAAATAGTTCTTTAAATAGACTCACTTAGGTGGGAACAAATTACATCATGATCCCCTAGTTATAAAAATCACAGGATGACCTCTAGAACATAGCACCCTGAATCAGCAAAATATCCTACATTCTAAAGCTCACTTAGCATAATCCGTCCACCACCTTCTTATTCTAACTAAAATCCGGTATTCCTTAGAAAAATCTGCTTCCCCTACATGGGGGGGTGGGGGGTAGGGGCAGGAATCTCTCTAGTTTAACTGTACCAGAAATTCATCTTTGCTTCTAGAATACATCTGGCAAACCCAACCCTGATTCAACTTAATTGCCCAACTACTCCATAACTGCTTACTTAGTGTTAATGTAACTAGACAAAACAGAACAATGCTCCCTAGTTTCACTTTAAAACCCTGACCACAAACCTCAAATGCTCCTTAATGATGCCCAACAATTACACTATATATCCCTAGTCCATTTTCTCATTCTCCTATATGATTTCACACTACTTCCTTCTCTCCTCAAACCTCTAAACCTTCTTCCCCATTCTCACTCTCCACAGATGACCTCACTTCCCATTTAACTGAGCAAATTTAAGCAACAAGAACTTGTACAAGCTTCTATCATATATATCCACCAGTAAGTACCTGTACCCACATATTCTGCCTTCCTTCCTACGACTATATGTACTTCTATTTTAAGTCCAACCATTCCTCTTGTGCCCTAAATCCCATACACCTCACTAAAGGACATTGACCACCAATTCCTTCTTAATTTTTTTTTTGTTCTTTATTAACTCATTCCCATCAGCATGCAACATGTCATTATTGTCCTCATTTTAAAAAACAAAACAAACCTTTGCTTGACTCCACCTTCCCCTCAAGCTAACACTCCATGTTTCTGCCTCCATCTACAATACAGATCATTGGTAAAAGTTTTTCCCTTTTCTTTTCCTGCCATGCTTTCTAAAACTCACTCCCGTCAGGCTTTCAAGCCAACCACCCTCTTGAAATAAGTTTAAGTTTCAACAAGGGACACCTGGGTGGCTCAGTCAGTTAAACATCTGTCTTCGGCTCAGATCATGATCCCAGGGGGCTGGGACTGAATCCCACATAGGGCTCCCTGCTCAGTGGAGAGCCTGCTTCTCCGTCTCCCTCTGCTGCTCCCTCTGCTTGTGTGCACGCTCTCTATCTCTCTCAAACAAATAAAATCTTTAGGGGCGCTTGGGTGGCTCAGTCATTGTGTTCTGCCTTCAGCTCAGTCATGGTCCCAGGGTCCTGGGATTGAGCCCCGCGTTGGGCTCCCTGCTCCGCGGGAAGGCTGCTTCTCCCTCTCCCACTCCCCCTGCTTGTGTTCCCTCTCTTGGTGTGTCTCTCTCTGTCAAATAAATAAATAAAATCTTATAAATAAATAAATAAAAATAAAATATTTTAAAAAAGAAATAAATAAGTTTCAACAAGATCACTAATGACTTTCTCTAAATCCAAAGGTCAATTTTCAGGACTCATCTTCATTGAGTCCTTCATTCTAGCAGCATTTAACAAAGTTGTCATTCTCACCCTCTTTAAACATCTTCATCAGTTAGTTTGGCCTTTTCACCGGTCACTCCTTTTATCTCCCTTGCTAATTCCTCCCCTCTTCTCCCCAATCTTTTTTGTTTTGTTTTAAGATTTTTATTTATTTATTTGAGACAGCACGCGCGCACAAGCAGGGGGAGCTGAAGAAGGGTGCCCAATGCAGGGCTCAATCCCAGAACCCCGAGATCATGATCTGAGCTGAAGGCAGATGCTTAACCAACTGAGCCACCCAGACACCCCTCTTTCTCCCCAATCTTTGGACTTCTTTTTTCCAATTATATTCATTCAGCCTTTGGACTTTTTTTTTCCAATTATATTCGCTCTTTCAGTGCTCACACCCAGTTTATCACAATATACTGGATGACTCCCAAATTTATATTTCCACACTAGAACCCTCCCTAAACTCCATGCTCATATATCCAACTGCCAACTCAACAGGTTGATTTTGATGTCCAAAAGGCATCTTAAATTTAAGATGGCCTGAACCGAACTCACCTTTCATCCACTCATTTCTTATACAGTCTTCCCCATCTCAGTAAATGCCAACTCTATTCTTCCAGTTCTATTTTTTTTAAGGCAAAAATCTTCATCACCTCTTGCCTGGCTTATCAGAATCCACTCATGTTACCCCTGCCACCTTACAGTCTCTATTCATCAAAAGAGATAAAGTAGTATTCTTTCTTTGAATGAATATAAAGAGTTTATTCGGTGCATATTTGGGTATACAACAATTTGGAACACAGATTTTAACAATAATTATTAACGCACAAAATCTTACATGTCATGCAACTCTTTGCCAAGATTCCAACTTTCTTCCATGCAACAGATATTAAGATCTAAATGGAAACCTAGCTAAGTCTTAAACATAAAGTAATATTTTAAAAATATATCAGGGGTGCCTGGGTGGTGCAGTTGGTTAAGTGTCCAACTCTTGGTTTTAGCTCAGGTCCTGATCTCAGGGTTGTAAGATGGAGCCCCGCGTCGGGCTCTGCGCTTGGCGCAGTCTGCTTAGAACACTCTCCCTCTTCCTCTCCCCTCCCCCCACTCTCTCTCTAAAATAAGTAAAACCTTTAAAAATATGTCATTATGTCACTTCTCTACTCAAGACTCTCCAATGCCTTCACATTTTACTCAAGAGTTTTTATAAAAGCCAGTCCTTACAATAACCTTTAAGGTCCTAGTGCTCTGCGTCTCTGCATCCTGCCTCGTTACTTCGATTCTATCACCTCCTTCAAGTCCTTTAGTAAACGTCACCTTCCTAATGAAGCTTACACTATTTAAAAATGCAATTTCCACCACGACCCCTCACCCCCTTATGGAACTACAGAGTAATAGAACCACATCCCCAGGATCACAAGAGCACTGTCCTGAGAACCAAAAGATCTGGCCATACCAGTTAAACTGCTAGTATATATACTATTCCTATCCTAGACCCTTATCCCACTCCACAACCATACACTGATGTTAAGGCAGAGCAGCTGTAACTGAAAAGACAAGACATTTCATATGACTTCTGCTTATAACTTGAAAAAATATATCATTTGGTAGTGCTGCTCTGACATGTGACGATATGAGGCTGAACTTCTACCAAGACCAACTTAACCTACTGCTTGAAACTCATGAAATTTTCATTATGCTATTATTAAAAAAAACAGGATTCAGGAGTAGTACTGAAATTATACTGTGCTTTGTTATTTAAAGGTTGCATGTCTTAGACAAATTGGAAATGGTTTGTAAAAACAAGGCAGGTTAGTGATTGTACTTATGCTATATGCTTACTGCTTTTTCATTTATTAATTTAATTCAGATATAGACAATATAGGAAAAGTTTCGTCATTTATTAAAAAGTTAAACATAAACTTATGTATCACCCAGCAATTCTACTCTAAAGTATCTTCCCAAGAAAAATGAAAACATGTCCACACAAAGACTTGTATTTGAACGTCCATAGAAGAAATATTCGTAACAGCCAACAAAATCAAATAGCCACATAATAGTATACTACTTATAACAATAAGGGGGACAAGCTAAGGATAACATGCAACATTGCTACACCTCAAAAACATTAAGTAAAAAAAGTAAGGCAATAAGATTACATAATTGCATTTACATGAAACTTCTAGAAAAGACAAAACCATAGAAACAATAAATTTAGTAAATGCCTGGGGCTGAAAGTAAGAACAGTGATAAACCGCAAACAAATACAAGAG